AGGCCATGCAGGATTACTCACAGGTGCTTCACATCTTGCCTTGGAGACAAATCTTCAAGATGTGAACCACCTGTGAGTAATCCTGCACTGCACATCCAGTGCTGTGATGGGTGGGTTTGATTCCATGCTGGAGGCAGCAGCTGCGGCGGAGGGTCCCATGGCGAAGGTGTGCAAGGCCAGGATGGGTCAGGCACCAGCATGCACAGCAGAATGAGGCCACCAGCATGTTCCTCTGGGTTGAATTCATTTCAGCAGTGAGCCTGCGTGAGCAAGCCCATCCAACACCCTGAGATGACGGTGTTTGCCATCCACAGAGAAGGTGGCCTGGGACTGTGCGGCCAGTAGTGAGTGGCTCCAGGCAAGTAGAGCTTTGTGCTGGCTCTGCTGTATGGCTCGCTTCGCCAGCTCCGTGGCTTGAGCACATCTCTGGATGGGAACCTTGCTCTTTAGTCAGACACCCATGGGCACCACTGAGGATGCTGGCAGCAGCAGCTGTGGCAGGGCCCTGTGTTCCCTGGCGTGACCCATGGTGCCCTGGTGTGGGCTGCAGTGGCTCAGTGGAGTCCTTGGGCTGGAGCTTTGTGTGGAGCAGCCTGGCGATGGAGAGGGCACCAAGTGACCCAAGAGACATTCTGTGAATTGGCTCAACACCTTCTGAAGGGCACCAGAATCAGTGGACCCATAAAATCCCTTCTAGTCCTGTCCCACATGGAATCCCTCCCTCCCAGTAAGAACAGAGGGCAGCAGATAGAGAGGGGAGGGATGCCAGGCAGCAGATGAAGTGTCTGGGGAGGAGTTTGTTCAATGTTTTAACAAGAGTGCAAAGTGCCGATCCAGGATAAACCCACCTCGCTGGCTCAGGTTTGCTTACACAGGCCTGTGGGCTGATGCTCTGGGTATCAGACAGCCTTCAGCCACTTACACATGAGATGTGACTGAGACACAAATCCTCGCAGTTCTCCCAACTCTGCTCAGCTCCCACCTTCACTGTGGATGGACACCGACCTGCAACATTTTATTTTTCTCTCTGTAGCCAGATGGGAGTTGTTCAGCCTTGGTAGCTTCTTCCACCCTGAGGCTAAGGGCATTTCAAACCCGGAGGGGCATTGCCAGCTACATTTTGCATAGAAAGGAAGGCAGAAAGTAGAGGGCAGACAGGTTCTGGGCAGGTCAGAGGAGAAACAGTCTCCAAGCGGAGTCCTTCTAGTGGTGGGTGATGCAAGAAGTCCTGGACATGGAGCAGCACTGCTAGGGGAGGGCCTGAGCCTGGGCTGACGCCAACGAGCACATTCCCGCAGTGGCCACCCAAAAGCCCTTTCTGCAGGCAGGACAGTGGGATCTTCCAGGAAAAGCGAACAGCAGTTACCAACTGAAGCCTGGTCCATTGGTGATACCAAATCTAAGGGATGGGCATGCCCTTAGCCGAGGACAGATCCATGCTGAATTACCTTTTCTATTATAAGGATGATGACTCAATTTATTTCTACAGGGTGCCCTTGCCAAAGGGCTCTGTGTCTCTGTGCTTCGTAATAAAACAATTAAAACTCCCATGAACGCTAAAATCCTACCGGGCCAGCACAGAAAGGAGAAAGAAAGGGTCTTTCCCCTCCCACAGAACCAAGAGCTTCCAAGTTTACAGGCACTGTAGGAATGGAAAGGGTTTGAAATGATCTTTAAAGGCTGGAAGGGATTAGATGGGAAGGGTTACGCATGGCCAGGGGTTTTGCACTCAGAAACCATCACTGTTTGACAGGACATGGGGGAAATCTGCCCCAGACAATGCTCAGAAGCTCTCAAATGAGCAGCAGGCTCGTCACGGGTTGGGTGGCCTTGTCTGCCCTCACCGGGCCAGTTACAAATCCCCCTGGTTCTGGTCTCATTGCTGAGACTGGACCTTCAGGTATAAATGGCTCAAAGATCCCATTTATGCTCTCTGATCTCTCTGGTGGCTCCAGATGTGAGGCAAAGCCTCCAGAGAATGAGGTGGCACCTTCCTAGTGGACGTGCAAATGGGATGCTGGATGCTGGGCTGGTTTCTGCCACAGAGCTGAAGCGTGCTCTGGGACACATCAGGAATTGCACAGCCCGGAGCACTCCCCCCTGAGCCGGATCCTTCGCAGTTTTGGCTGTTTTATTCAGGTCAGAAAATCAAAATCGACAATTTTACCCACCAGCCCAAACCCACAACCTTTGTGCTTTAAATACCATTAAAATACCAGTAGCAAGAGCAATGTGAGCAGTGCCCTGACAGATTCATGTTTTCTGGCAGATTCCTCATCTTGATGTCAATCGTCCCACACTCGAGATAGCGCAGCAGCAAACATCCCAAACGGGAACATCCTCAGTGGAATGGCAATTAGATCCCGGAAAGGACAAGGCTGGGAGCCTGCTGTGCGCTGTCCCATGTGATCAGGTCTTTTGTGGGCACAGCTGAGTGAGCGTGAAGGACCCAATGCTACCGGGACTTCACTGGCAGATTCCCTTCATCTTGGAGTGAAACCGAAGTTAAAAGAAATTCAAAAAGGAAAGGAAAGCCTTGAGATTCTCAGCTTCTGCCAGGCGCTGTTCCCACTGAGCGGAGCAAAACCAAGCCAGGACATCTGTCCCACGTATGATTCTTCCAGCTCTGTTCATCTGTTTTTCTGGTGGTCCCATCACTTTGGCCTAAATGGCAAGGATCAAGGGTATATAAAGAGAAGCCTCCTTAACACTACAGTCCCTACCTTGGGCTGGGGCACCACTGGCTTCCCGGGGCTTCCCCAGAGCAACGGCTGGAAGTCACAAAACAATGTTCTTGGTTTCAGTGATGGGAATGGGTTACCCAGAGAGGTGGTGGAGGCCCCATCCCTGGGGACATACAAGGCCAGCTTGGACGAGGCTGTGAGCAACCTGATCTGGTTAAAGGTGTCCCTGCTCATGGTGGGGGGCTTGGACGAGATGGCCTCTGAAAGTCCCTTCCCACCCAAACCATTCCATAATTCTATGATTCTGTCTGAGCGGGGGGAGTGTCATGCACGGGCGCTTTGGAAACACAGTGCCTTCCTAGGCCTTGGCACCGAGCGATGGAGCTCAGGTGGAGACTGCTCTGAGCGGCTGCCCAAAATGAAGCCGAAACATCCACGGGTGCCCAGACCCCTGTGTTCTGATACAGGATCTGTTTTAACCCCCCCTTTGCATCTTTTACTCTGCACGCATCACAAATCTGTGAATACAGGAGGAGGAGAACCTAAAAAATTGAGCTGTTGAGTTAGGCTCCCTGTCCGTACTGAGGGCACCGAGAACAAGCAGCTTGCTTCTGGCTTTCATGAGTGCCAAGCACTCCAAACGTATGTGAAAAGGCCTGAGGCCGTGTATTTGGCTTCCGATTTATCGTCCTGTAAGGGACTAGAAACTTGTCTCAACATTGGTAGCAGGCAAGCTACCGAAGCCTAATCACCACGGCAACTGAGCGGGGCAGTTTAATCACCAAGGCAGCCCATTGAGTCCCACCCCACAGGAATGTGTGTCCTGTTGTCTTGGAGTACATGTCCTCTGCACATGCGCCGGGGCCCAGAGTCGACTGACAATGGGGAGGGGGCTTGGACCCTCTAGAACTTTCGAGCATCCTCTAGTGACGGTACTGGGCATGCGCCTCACTGCCAAGTGGGAGGTGTGGGTACGCAAAACTGTCATTGACTATGCAAAAGAACAACCCTATAAAAAGGGGAACCAGGGGCGACTATGAGGAGCGTTCTGGAATATCCTCCCCCCTGGACTCGAAGATATGTGGGACCGCTCGGGCCACACCGGCGCGCGGATCACACGCAGACCCGTGGTGGTAACTATTGCAAAACTGCCGTTCTGTTTGTTTCTCTCTTTCTCTCTTGCCCTTTCTCACTTTTCCTCTCTTTCTCTACTTTTCTCTCGTGTATTTGTTGTCGGCCAAATAAAGTGTCTTGGCACTTGACTCCGTTTTGAGTCTTAATTCTGTTCCTGAGAATATAAAAGGAACCTAGTCATGATAAAACATTGGAGTTAATCAGAAGTTAAGCCCAGCTGCCCCCAACCTCCCAGAATTATTTGAGGTTGGTTGGAAAGCAAGGGGGTTTAACCTTTGCTTGTTCAACCTAACAGTGGATCATGACACGGCCTCAGGAGCCTGATTTCATGAGCTACTTTTTTAAGCTCAGCAAAACTCTTATCACCAAGAGATTGGCACGGGGGCCCTCCACAAAATGCTGTGACTTTGCAGGGGGCAAGTGGCCGTCAGAGAATCATGGCCACTTCACTCCAGAGGCTCAGTATTCGAACAGCTGCCTTTCCAACGCAGTGCAGCGGCAGCAGTCCCAACCTGTGTACCCACCTGCCACTGGGGACTGGGGACCGGGGACCGGGCCACTCTCCCACAGGCTCTTGGGCTGGATCATTCGTTGCCTTTCAGACTCTGCATGTGGCCATGAGCAGCCTGGAGGCACTGACAGGAAGAAATGGATTCTGGCTGTTTATAGGTGTCAATAAGCTCCAGTTTCCAACTGAAATATTGAGCAGTGGCTGGGGCTCTGCCTCCTTCCTAGGCAGCTCCTAGAGATGCTCACAGTCTGGGCTTCCTGAACCTTCCCAAGATTTTGGAGTGAAGGTGCAGAGCTGGTGGTGCCAGATGTCATGCCTGATGGGGAATATGAACTCCTGCCCTCAGCAGCTTGCACCGGGACTGCCGTCCTCCGTCCCTCCCTAGGGCCCAGACTTAGATTACTGGAGCTGCCGCGCTGGTTCCGAAGCACTTGTTCACAGCAGTACAAGCCACACGCTTAAAGTAACAAAGTTATTCCATTCTTGTCAGCACCCTGATGTTCCTTCCAGGCTATGCTGGAATGTAAAGCATGCTCATTAATTACTTCAAATGCCAGGGTTTAATTACAAGGCCCCTGAGTTAAATTTCAAGCCAGCCAAACTTTCAGGAGACAGACAGACATACCCATAGCAAGTTAATCCTTCAAAAAAAGATGATGATGATGACAACGATGATGATGATGCTGAACGTTACTGATTTCCCAGCAGTGGTATTTCAGCTTCCAAACACAGCGTACGTTAACTGGCGCACGCAGAAGCTGGTGCTGTACCTGTCTGCCCGTCTGCAGGCTGGGGCATTCCCCCTGGACCGCAGCCGCAAGAGAAAGCCCACGTTCCTGCGAGAGGAGAAGGAGTAAAACCAGGCTTCATTACACAGCTCCAGAGGAAACATGCACCCGTCCGATGGGGTGGACATCCTTCCGCCGGGTGAGGCAAAGGGGCTCTAGAAATCAAACTGTGTGGGGGCCGGTTATTGCAGCACAGCTGAAAATCTTCCTGTAACCTTGCTGGGTTCCCCACCGACCTCGAAGCCAGCAATGAAGCTGTCCTGGTTTTGGCTGGGATAGAGTTAATTTTCTTCACAGGAGCTAGCATAGTGCTGTGTTTTGGATTTAGTACCAGAAGAATGTTGATAACACACTGATGTTTTCAGCTGTTGCCAAGTAGTGCTCAGACTACTCAAGGACTTTTTGAGCTTCTCCTGCCTTGCTGTTCATTATGAGCCATGCTGCCTTGAACGTCAGCGTTCCTACAGCAGTGCCCTGTACTTTCTCACATTTAGAGTTTAGGGGCCATGACCTCAAACACAACACGACAGCTACAGTGCTGATGTGGTAGAATCACCCAGCTTACAGCTGAGAGGTAATTTTTGGCCCTTGTTAGCCACGAGGGTGTAGCAGGCTCAGTTACCGACATCCTGGGTACCAAGAGGAAGCCCCTAGAACCCGGCAGCTTTAGATTTCAGCCAACCCGGGTGCTGGATGGTGTTGCAGAGGTCAGCTGCTAGCTGGAGGCACTTCCCAGGAGGACGCATGGAAATGCTGCTCCACAGCCCCTGCGCCTGGCAGCTGGCATGCCTGACCGTGCCGCACACTCATGCCGCAGCGCCCAAAGGGCTGAAGGTCTGTGAGTCTGGAATCTGGATGGCACTAGCCCCAGTTTCCCTTTCACAGCTGTGGCCATCTGAGGGAACCGGCATGGGGCAGTCAGTGGAGGTGGTAAGCGGCTGCTCGGGCAGGGGCACCAGCACGCGCTGCCTTCCCACTGCCTCTGCTGGAATATGAAAGTTTCATCTTCCTGACGATGCTTTCAGTGCTGGAAGAGGACAAGGCATCCAAACAAATCCCCTCCTGATCACACCCCCAGGACTGCAATCCTGCAGTTCCCCTAGAGGCTGCATCTGTGTCAGGAACTTGCATTTGATTTGTACTGCCTGAATAATTAATGGTCAGGATTTAGAAGAATATGGTGTGTTTCCATCTTGCAATACTTACTGGCTTCCTTAACGCCCCAGCTCTGGAGCTGTACTTCAGTAGGGACAAAAAAAACCTGAGTACTTTTTGAAAACTTAAAAATTATTAGGAATTGGACATCAGAAAGGTATTTAAAAAAACCCCTAAGGCCTGCTGAAAAAACCTCTGTGACTTCCAAGCCAGCGTCACAAGTTTCAGGGCCCAATTAATTATTTTCTAAAACATATTGTTGTCAAAGCTGTAACTTAGCTCATCAAATGCCTGTTGTTCCAGGGGTAATAACACATCCTGGGGTCAGCGGATCAGCCTGTGTTTTGGTTATTTTTAAAAATCAGTCATTGGCAGCCAGAGGGCGAGTGCCTGATGAGTGAACGTCCCCGGAGAGCAGGTACACCAAGGTGTGCTGTCTTCTTGGCTTTGAGGAAGAGGTAACTGCTGTAAAGGGACAAGCAGTTGGTTACCCTTGACTTTGAGGCTCCCTGGGTACGTGGTCTGCTCTGACTCCGCTTTCATTCTTCCTGGAGCGATGGCTGGAATGTTCTGTTGTGAACAACAAGCACAAAAGGGATCATAGGAATGAGGTGAATCCGAGGCCACAAATGACGTCCTGCAACCAGGAATGGCTGATACCGCACCAGTCAGCTTCTCGTGAAGCCAAGGTGGTGGCATCAGCACCAATGTTTTATCCCCTCCTGCTGTCGCTTTGATCCTTGGGCAGTGCCCAGCAACCTGGGCGGCTTGGCAGGCACTTCCACTGCCCCAGGTGGAGCACCCACAGCCACCACACAGGGGACCTCCCAAACTCACCTGGGGATCAGGACGATGCTGCTGTCCCTGTCTCACAAATGGGGCCCAGAGGAACCGCCCGGCTGCTGCACAAATTCTTCATTGTGTTCAGCTCTGTTTTGGCATTTGGCTATGAGCTCCTCCTCAGCATCATGTCCCCTTGTCCCTGGGGTTTCAGCCGTGTGTCAGGCACCCAGGCACCTCTGTGGCTTCTGGCATAAATGACTTCTTCAGTGGCACATGCAGACAGCGTGGAAAGCCTGGATCTGACACTGTCATTTAAAAGGAGGTCCTGTTATGAAAAATCTCCCCTTAGAGGTTACGTGCCTCACAAAATACCAGTAGCAAAACCAGAAAACAGGATTTTTTCTCAAGATCACGGGTTACATTAAAAGAGATTCATATGTTCTAAGAGGAGGAGAGGAGAGAGGTTAAAAAGCAGAATAAATAAGACTGACTAAAGAGAAGCATGCAGTGTGGTATTCAAAAAAAGCACAGCATCAGCTTAACGCTGCTTTCAGATTTCTTAGAATCATAGAATCACTTTGGTTGGAAAAGCCCTTTAAGATCATCGAGTCCAACCTTTAACCTAACCCTGCCATCCCACCACTAAACCATGTCCCTAAGCACCTCATCTATCCTTCTTTTAAATACCTCCAAGGATGGGGACTCTACCACCTCCCTGGGCAGCCCATTCCAGAGCCTGACAACCCTTTCGGTGAAGAAGTTTTTCCTTATGTCTAGCCTAAACCTGCTCTGGCGCAACTTCAGACCATTCCCCCTTGACCTGTTGTCCATTACCAGGGAGAAGAGGCCGACCCCCACCTCACTACAGCCTCCTGTCAGGTAGTTGTAGAAGGCGATCAGGTCTCCCCTCAGCCTCCTTTTCTCCAGACTAAACAACCCCAGTTCCCTCAGCCGCTCTTCGTAAGACTTGTGCTCCAGACCCCTCACCAGCTTTGTTGCTCTCCTCTGGACATGTTCCAGCAATGCAACATCTTTCTTGTAGTGAGGGGCCCAAACCTGAACACAGTACTCAAGGTGTGGCCTCACCAGCACTGAGTACAGGGGCACGACCACTTCCCTACTCCTGCTGGTCACAATTCCTGATATAAGCCAGGATGCCATTGGCCTTCTTGGCCACCTGGGCACACTGCTGGCTCATATTCAGCCATCTGCAAACCAGTACCCCCAGGTCTTTTTCCACCAGGCAGCTTTCCAGCCACTCTTCCCCAAGC